GACAAAAAGAAGTGAGATATTGTTAACTTTGAATAAAAACTCGTATTGTTCTTGTACTATCAGTATCGGTTTTTTTCTACGGAAAATACCGATAAGATGTTGTAAGTACGTTAACTGGTCGTAGAATGTCACTGATGTAATGAGAAATCATTATGGCTGCTTGAACTGACAGACGTGCTGATGTTAAATCTAATAGCGCCCCATGAAAAAATAGTCCTGTTTGCGCAGTATATTGAGTACAAATGCAGTCTCCTTGGTGTCTTTCCCCCGTTTTCGACAGACAAATACATATGGTGATAATTTTCTCTTAAACAAAACCGTGATTTATCAGAGAAGAGGATATCACTCTAATCAGTCTGCCAAACATGATGTTCAGAAGTCATTGCAGTCTAGCATTACGTTGCTGAAATGTCAAAAGTAACTTCAGGAGGAGCTGACAGTCTCTTAATCTAGAATGTAATGAACAATAACGTACTAAGACAGATGACATTGGCTCATAGGTTACCGTTCGCCAGTTTTGCGCTAAAACGTAGATAAAGCAGAGAAGTCAGCCAAAGCATCCTGATAAGAGGATTTTTCTCTTTCAGCGTTGCCTGCTTACCAAGTCAAAAAGCTTTTCTTTCCTTGCGAAGTTCTTCTCACAAATCTTTGCATAATCTTTCAAGTACAGAAGCATTTCACTCTGCTCTTATGACAGTATCGGCCCACCAGCAGCCGAAGGATAAAGTCGCTAACACTGGTAGTTCAGTCCGGGATTTGAATCCCGGCGAACGACCTTGCTGCATGGCCGTTTTCATGGTTTTTATCATGTGTAACGTGAGTACGAGCCAGTATCCCTTACAAAGCCTTCCGCGAAGGCATCCCTCCCCTTAGGCAGATAGCGTTCGAATGCTTTGCCGTAATCAAATAAACCATTCAAAATTAACCGTATGGCAGTATCACAAAAAGAAAACATTGAGTTTGTTTCACGCCAATAATGCTTTCTCTGTCAAAGGCCGCTGATGATTTTATACGCCCGTTTAATATGATGTAGAGGGACCTGTACTTAATGTTGAACATCGTCTATCCGGCAACGAATCCTATGTAAAAATATCAAGGTTGTAAAAAACCCTTTCATTTAAAAATAAGAAGACTAGAAGGCACATCTAGTGATTGCAAATCAGCTAATCACTTGTGCGAAGATAACATAAAGTAACAGTAGGTTCAAATGTAAAATTAAAATTCAAGAAAATAGTAGCCAAGGGTTACAAACATCAGGTTAACGCGATTTAACCAGCTGGCTCATAATCTAACTAGCGTTGGCGATTCAGTCTTGGCGATTATAATGTACGGCGCAAAACCTCAAATCTTATCTGAGCAGGTAACCTGTTAAAGTGAACTCAAGGGGCAAAACACACTCTGTCTTACAATCTAAAAATCTCATTTTAAATACACGAGAACTAATTTATATTCTGGCTTGGAAATAGAAGGAAGAAGAGACAGTGAAGGTCTAAATCATAAAATAACTGGTTAATTAACGTAAAGGAACTCTATAAAAGAATCAAATTTCCGTACAGGTATGTTTCGAGTTCTTACGGACTATAGCTTCCATAGCTTCGGACTTTACGGATTAATGAGGTTGAAATGGGAATCACTTGTTCCTTTCCTATGTTGCACGTACTGAAAAGTAAAGTTGCAGACGCATTCTGTTTTGTTCTGTATATAATGAAAAGCGTCTTCCTAAGGGTGTATATATTTGGCAGAGCTCGTTGCGACCTTTGTGCAATATTAAATAATTCTATTTAACACAGTTATTCAGTAAGCAAAAATTCATTAGCAGAAATTATGTACAGGTAAGAGAAAGTCTTCTCTCTTATCTATTACAGATGTTTATGTTAATTTAGTTTTCACATGCTCAGTAAATTTAATACTTTGCAGATGATTTCGTGTAACATAAATAGGATCTATTTACTGAGAACAAAAGTAACCTTTAATAAATTTTAGCTAATTTGCAATGACACATTAGAAGCGAATGATGGAAATCCTAATGAATAATCGAGATTCAATTACAATGCCTGTAACATTTTAATAATACGCAAGGTTTATTCCGGTCGAATAAATGCAACAAGTCAAATATTTGTAAGGGATATAAGATTAAAAAAAAACATTTTATAAATAAACACTGCTACTTAACTTGAAATACTGTAAATTAGTTTATATAAATATTAAAAGTTTGGGTTGAAATACTATTTTATTAAATAGCTACACTCAGGAATCTGAAATCCTTTAAGAGTGAATTGCTTACAGTAGTAAAATCATGCCCTCAATAAGATGGTATTTTAAGTAAGTGATGATCGCTTTATTGAAAACAAGGGCTTATTTTAATTTTATTTTAATAATAAATGTCTTCGTAATTAGGTCAAATCTTATTTTTCATATTTTCAAAAGCATTAAAAATTCTGACGTGTGAAATTATTTCTCACCTCTCCCTCTATATACATGTAGACTAACATGAATGCAGATTAAGAAATCATATTTAGTCTAGTAAAGTAGAAATGAATTAGTATAAAAATACGTTTGCAAAATGGCAAAAAAGGCAAAAACACACAGTACCAATTAGCATAATTAAAAAATAATTAGATGAATATCCTGTAGAAAATTTATAGTTCAAAACAAAAATAATTGTATGAATTTTAGTTATATGATAAGCTAAAGTTGAGAAAAAATTAAATTTGAATAAAAATAAAAGAAACAGGATTGTACATTTCATGGGGCATCTTCTTCAGGAACCTGGTGTCACGAGAAAAGGAAATAAAAATTATTCTGTTCCTTAAATGTACACTGCGGGGGAAAAAAAAATGAGACAGTTCTATATCTCCCGTTCTACTGGGCCGAATGACGAAATTCAACTTGTCTTGTTTTTATGTCTTTTCATGTCTCGAAAGCGCTACTTACAATATGTATCAGATTTATACATAGCATTGTTCTAATATAGGCATTTTTACATAAAATTGGACGTTTTCTGAAATTACATGCCAATTATTTTTTCCCATATTACGATTCTACGACTCAAATTATACCAAACTTACAAGCTCTGCCAAATATATACACCCTTAGGAAGACGCTTTTCATTATATACAGAACAAAACAGAATGCGTCTGCAACTTTACTTTTCAGTACGTGCAACATAGGAAAGGAACAAGTGATTCCCATTTCAACCTCATTAATCCGTAAAGTCCGAAGCTATGAAAGCTATAGTCCGTAAGAACTCGAAACATACCTGTACGGAAATTTGAGTCTTTTATAGAGTTCCTTTACGCTAATTAACCAGTTATTTTATGCAAGAGTAGGTTTTAAAAATTTAGATTTAAACATTTTACTCCTCCATGTTAATTGAATTTGGCATATATTTATTAATATCTCTTTTTTATTAAACTTATTTTATTCTTCCTTTCACATTTCGAAATTTAGGTTCATTCCAAATAAAATTCGTCCATATTTTATGATTTATTCAAAAACAAATTTTATAAATTTTTCGAAAAACATTTTTAATTATAACTCCCATACAATTTTTACCATAGTCTTAAAATAGATGTGTTTCTAAGCATACCTACAAAAAAATTATGTTTTTTATTCAAAATTTCCTAAAATATACATGAATTTACATATTGGCGCATTTTAAAATTTTGCATATTTGTTATAAGCGATAATAACGCCAAATGTGGTTTATGCAGTTTGCCAAAATTATTTGAAAGTGTGAAGGATGACCTTTTTTAAGCTCATCTGCAATGAAAAAAAGGAAACGAAAATAGATTGCCATAAAGAAGTTCGCCAAGTAAATTATTCTTGGCGCAAAGTGAAATATATTTGCCAAGATAAATTTTTAAATTTCTCCATAAATTTCTCACGAAAAATTAAAAAACTTGATAACTAGGCATAATTTGAGTCGTGGAATTGAAATATGGAAAACAATTGGTGTGTTATTTCAGAAAAAGTCCGATTTTGTGTCAAAATACCTATACTTTGCAGCTATTGCGCAAGTATTAGAACACTTGTTTTCGAATTCAATGAATTTTAGATCATTCAGTATTTGATATATTAGAACAAAGCTATATATAAATCTAATACATATCCTAAGTCCCGCTTTCGAGACATGTAAAATGCAATTTTAATTTCGACAATCCGCCCAATGAGCAATAAAACATAAAACGTAAGAAATTAGAGTTATGATTAGAAAAATAATGTTGTATGAAGGATAATTGTTTTTAAGAAAAATATAAGTATGTTTTCTACTTAAAATCTATAAAATTTTCACGCTGAACAATAAACCAAAATTTCGCGTTGATAATATTAATAAAATTGACACCAGAAATTAGAAATTTACCTGCATCATTTAAAAATTCAGTATTCTTCCATGATTCTTGCATAATGCTAATGATCCAACAACTTACGTAATACTTCAACCAGTAATAATCTTAAGTTTGGTGAATCGAAATTTGAGCAACTACTTGGGCTAAACCTGAACGAAAATCAAATCATTCTGTGACGGGTTTTTATATTGGACACCTCGCATTCTCTCTCTCTCTCTTATATTTGCTAATTGATGGTCGTTGCTGCTGTTTCGTATTTTCATTTAATATATGACCAATTATTCCATTTAATGTGACTAATGATTACGATTTTCCTTAGGTTTAGAAATTTAGAAAAAAAACTAAAACGGAAAATTTCATTTGCACTCAAGAATGGAACGATATCAGATAAATGTTGTAATACTGAAACTAAAATCTTAGCTTTATTTCAAACTCTCTTAGTGCCAAACTCTAAGTGTCTTATTTCCTTGGTTTTTTAGTGCCTTATTTCAAACTCTCTTAGACACTCTCTTAGTGAGTTCTGTTAGTCCTTATTACAAATAAAATTTAAACTGTATTATTTCTCCGAATTCTGACTTAATAAACATGATTATAAAGAGAAAAATATGCAAAATTAAAATTGAAAATACTAAGAATTTAAATCGTACATACGCATAGTAACTGTTCAAGTTACCGATTTCGTCTCTTTATGCTTCTTGTTTTTTAAAATGAATTTCCATACATCATTGCATAGAGAATTTCGTTGAAGGATTGTACTTGTGGTGCATGTCCAAAATGTATCATTGTATCCAGTTCCAATTCTAAAAATATTAAAATACAGACTAAGTATTATTACAAATGTGAAAGATAAGGATGTATTAGCGCTTTCAACCATTTAATGATATCTTGGTTTAAAACACTATGAGTTCTTAAAACTCTAAAGCATACTTTGTATTTGATATTATACAGAGACTAGCCCACTAAACCGTTTACTGTAAAAAAGTGCGTAATAATTTTAAGAAGTTCAGCTAGTGCAATTTTCATGTTCCCAATTAATACCTAATAACAATAAAAAAGTACATTTATTGTTTTTAAATCGCTTAGTTTGTTAATGAGCAAAAGACTAATTATACTTTGCTGAATGGCAATCCATTAGCGAGTGGAAGATAGAAAAGTGTATTTTATTTCGGGGTATGCCAATCTATTTCTTTCAAATCGCCGAGTTTTTTCATTAAATTTGAAACATAAAAGTCATTCATTTTGTTGAGTGACCACATATCGCCCCTTTGCAAAGTACTAAATTAAAATCGCTGAGTTTCTTAATCAAAAATCAAGTTCCCATGATACATGAAAAAAAGTTCGAAATTAAAGCTGGATTCAATGACCACATGCTGGAGGAAAGGACTACATGCAAATAAAATCTGGCGTCTCAAGATTCCTCTGTTTTTCCATCAAGCAAGGAACAAAATAAACAGAGATACATACAGATTTTTTGATTTTTAATAGTTGCAGTAAAGAAATATAGGAATATCTTTGGAACTTAAATTGTTTTTATTAATTACTTAAATTGTTTGCCTTTCAAACTGAATCTGTCTATTGTGGATCAAGAAATAGATGCAGAACTGTCTGATTCTTAAAATTATTAAGCAATTGCAGTTCTTAAGAATATTTGGTTCTTTCTATAGAATTGGATGGATTTAAATAATAAAAATGCTCTCTTAGTGCCAAACTCTAAGTGTCCATTCAATTTACGATCCATCTAATTAAAAGAATTCAATATTTTCGTAGAATGATGTTATACATATTTTTTATTTTATACTTCATATTTTGTAAAAACAAACTTAACGATTTACAAGCTAACAGTGACGGCATTATACGGTGTAAAAAACTTTTATTTCCAGAGCGCCAGATTGTCTATATGAAACTTTAAAAATTTGTTGTTCGTAAATATTTTTTGATTTTGCTGTTGAAATGAACTTTATGTGGCTTAAGTGCAAATAATGTGATATTTAATGAACAAAGTTAACACGCAAAACGTTAGCAATAAAGAGACAAGTTTTGTAAGCCATCTTACTAAGAAAATTGAACATTGATGTGATGAACTGCGAAAAGACTGAAAAAATAGAAAAAATGTATGTCAGCAATTAACATTGCATTGGGACTTTTAAACATATGCTACTATGCTGCTTTTAAAATGTTTTTGATTTTTTTGTTTCAATTGTGTATGGCGTGCGAAGAAAACGATTAACAAAGAAAAAAAAAAAAGTTTAGCAGGAGTTATCAAGAAGTCAACGAGAGCGTAATAAGTCTTAACAAATCCTTCTGGGCGACGGTTAAAATTGGAAACTTTTCAGATCTATCTATCTATATATACATACAGGGAAATACGTTTAACACGAAAACGCTTAAGACAAAATGTTGGTTAAAATGAAATAATACAACGGTCCCGACAGACTACTATGTATTTTCATGCATTTTGTTTCTTTTAACACGAAACGAAAATCGCTTAACGCGAAAAGAGTTTTCTTCTGAGAATGAACAAAATACGGAAAACACCAGCCACGCAGGCGAGGTTTAAGAGGGGTGTGAAATGAAAGAGAGGTGGTTTCGCATGTTTCGTAGAAAGGCTTTGGCTTGAACTTGGCTTTGAAATACCCTCGGAATACCCTGTGACACGAGCCAATGTTGTTTATCTAAGCTACTTTCACCTTGCAACCCTACAAACACCACACAAAAACATCTCATCTCTCATCAGTCGGCTTTGGAACTCGGTGACGAGTACATTGCAGTATGTGTAAATAAACAGTGAGTTTTGTTCCCGCTAAAAGAAGGGGAGAAGGAGCATACTGAAACTGAGCTGACACTTGAAGAAATGTTTCTGTGTTATTGGACTGTTCCTACTGTATTATCGGAAGAATTCGTTGAAGTAAATGATGATAATGTGTGTACAGCCCCAATTATGGCAGGCAAAGAAAGTTTGGAACTTGTGTAAAGCTAAGAAAATATCGTTGATGCAGATTCCGACGACGAATATGAAATGAATAATGCAGCTTCTGTTCCCACATCATCCGAAATGAGGAACATCATGAAAAGTATACGCAGTTATTTAGACGCACATTTCCAATGATGAAATGAATAACAAAAATGGACGACATCGAACAATTTGTTGAAAATTTGGTGCTAAAAAAGACAATGCAAAGAAAAATATCAGATTATTTTAGAAAAACCCAATAAATGTTTTGTTTTTGAAAAAACTTGAAAATTTTGTATTAAATTAAGTTTTTGTGGATGTTTTTGTTTCATTGAGTTTTATTAAAACATGCATATATTTACATGTCTATGTAAATAAAATTTACTCTAATAAACTTAATTTTGTTGAATACTTTTTTTTTTTTTTTTTTTGTTTTGGCTGGAATATCCTTTAATACGAAAAAATATTTCAGTCCCCTCAGTTTCGTGTTAAAACAAGATTTTCACTGTATCACTGTATATATATATAATTACAAAATAATTTAAAAAAATATATATAAACATGCCTAGTATTTTCGCATTTTCGCGCATTAAACTGCTGAAAATTTATCAGTAAAGGTATAAAGTAAGAAATTTAGAAATTCTTTATGCTTAGACTATTAAAGATTATTGATTTTAAACTTACTGTATTCATTTTCCGTAACTTTTGCCAGAATTGTAGTTAAATTTAAGTTTAAACATTTAAAATGTAGAGCTAAATAGAATGTTGTTTTCCACACATACTGTACTCCTCCATTTGCCCATCTTTTTGCTAATCTTTGACGCAACTGATTTTTGCTACTTGCACAAAGAATTTAGCTCTGAAAATTCGTCCATTCTTTTTTGTTGCCAAATTTCTCGCCTACGTCAATTATTTGACGATGTTGGTATGGCAACATGATTGTATAATTTTTTTCTTCTGATTTTAAAATTTTAAATTTTGTTAAATTAAATCTTTAGCTGCTTTAGAGCTCTATTTTAAATGATTTTTGGTTCCTTTTAGAGTTTTTCCTTACTTTTAAGCTGTACTTATCTTTATATATATATAAGCGGCTAAAGTGTGTGTCGCTGATAGTTTATTGTTGCCACTCAGAAAAATGAGCGCGGAAATTTACGTTTCCGCAGTTTTTAATTATTATCTCAACCGATTAAAGTCATACGAAGATGAAAACGGTATCGATGGATTCGGGGAATTTTTTAGATTCCGAGGATACGCGTCTCGAATTTCAACTCGGCGCCGTTCCGTAGATATTCGAGAAAAAATAATTTGGCACGTAGCCAAATCCCTATAATAGGGAAAACCCAAGAAAGAAATTGGAAAATGTAGGGGAAAATTAGTTTTTAATTAATATCTCGGCTAATTAAAGTTTCAAGAAGACGCGAATGGTCAAAATGGCGTGTCACGGACCTGCAGAATCCAGCGGTATGCTTCGCTAAGCCCGGGAGCCAGCCATTTTGGAGGAGATGATGTTTCACCCATATATATATATGCGGCTTAAGTGTCTGTTTGTCGCCGAGAGTTTATTGATTGCTTGCGTAACTGTACTAGCCAATGGGGTGAAGTTGACTCGGCACAGGGTTCCCGTTTTAATTGAGACGTAGACAGTTTTCTGTAAAACTTGCCTTTGCTATGACCATCCATATGTCTCAGGGCCAAACGCTTAAGCGTGCTGGCATTTTTTTACCTAAGCCTGCATTTGGACACGGTCAACTTTATGTTGCCTGTTCAAGAGTTCGTGAAGGAACAGACGTAAAATTAAAAATAATGGATGGTCCTCTGCAAGGCGAGCTTAAAAATGATGCAAAGATCTATACAAGAAATGTTGTGTACAAAGAGATTTGTGACATGTGAAATAACATTTCATTATTCAAATCACCTTTATTGACTGAGCTAGCGGTGACTCTTAAGAAATGTACTGCCGGTGGTTTCCTTCATTGCACGCTGTTTTAAGCAATTAAGCAAGTAGAAGGGGTAAACTCCGTGGGGCAGTAAGTAAAGGGGCGTCCTCGTCGCCTGCCCTGGGTAATTCAGTTTAAATTAGCAGACAACTTTGCACGCATCATTTTAATTACAGTTTATAATATCTAGAACAGCGGTCATTTCGTATGACCGAAAGGCTTTCTAGTATATATATATGCAGCTATTGCGCAAGTAGTAGAATAACTTGATTTCGCACTAAGTGAATCTCAGATCATACAATATATATATATATATATATAAAATCAAAGAAGCAATAATCAAATAAAAATGCGGTGGTTAACTGTTGAACAGGAATAACATACATCTAAACTGGTACAAAAACTGTTCAATTGAAACAAGCAAAATAAAAATAATATAATAAACAAATTGTCGAAAATTTAATTACTTTTAATTTGTAGCAGTTTTTTTTTTTTTTTTTTTTTTTTTTTTTTTTTTTTTTTTTTTTTTTTTTTTTTTTTTTTTTTTTTTTTTTTTTTTTTTTTTTTTTTTTTAATATTTATTTAGCTTTTTGGTTCTAATTTGACGAAATACTTAAAATTTCTAATTAAGATAATTTTTATTTTTATACAGTATTTTTTGTTTTCGATCAGGTCGCACCGAATTATATCTAATCTTATGCCTAAATTATTATTTATTAAATAATAATGAAAGTTTAATTATAATTATGCATTGTTGCGTGCGTACGGGTTAGTAATAGATTGAATGCACGAGGTCCAATAAAAAGTTAATAAAATTTATCATTATCACAAGAAATATAACAAAACGCTGGATATTCCCTCAAAGATATTCGTACAATATCGCAATATCAAGCAATATAATTAGTATCTATAT